CCTAACTCCGTTCCTCCATCTTTCCCCAAAAGTACTCACTCACTGCAAGGTGAAGGCCACGAAGGGAACTTACCGAACCGACCCTTCGCTCTCTTCAGTTTTATCAGAGAGGTCTCTAGATCTAGTTCTATCTATTTATTTATTTATTTATTTAACGGTTTATGTATTGAAAGGGCATGTTCGTTTCTGAAGAGATCACGCGGAAGTCTCCATCTGTCAGAGAACAGAAGAATCAAACTAAATAGGTCGTGAAATCGTGCGTTAAAATCGTGGTTTCTTTTTTAAAATGTAGATCTAGGTGTTTTTACACACCCATTGACACAATCATTCTGATTTTTTATAGACTGAAATCTTAGCTTTAGGGAAGTTATGCTGGTTTTTTATATAGAAAAAAAACCCCTGAAACAGTGCAACATCAAACAGATTTTAAGGAGAAACGAGAGTAAAACGCAAACACAAACAAAACAATACAGAACAAAACAAAAACAAAACAGTTTAAATGCAGTTGGGATAATAACTGTAGGCTAAATATACACGTAGGGCTAATAGTTTATACAGCCGCCATTATTTGAAGCAACCTTATCCAACCTCTCTATTGAATGCACCAGCGAGCAATTATGTCATGAGAATCCTGACGGCCTCTACCTTCTTGTCGGATTGCATTGACACTGAGGAAAATACCTCTCTACGGTCCAGTGAACAGCGATTGCCGTGAATTCGAAAACCCATATCATTATCAGGCAGTCCTCTCCACAGCCACTCCATTTCGTTTCCTGTTTCTGGGCAGGTCTACAATTTCCTGCTGGCAGAGTAAATTGGTGTAGCAGAGTGGTTTCTGCTGATACTGTTGGGACTTTTTCAGAATAGATCTAGTGTTGGATTAGAAGAAGTTTGATTGGTGGATTTGTTTGGATACTTCTGTGACTTTTTGATTCGATTTGACGTTATATGTGCTGGGTTTATTCATTTTTTTTATATCCCTGTGTTTCAATTCAGTGGACGTATTAATTAAACGGTTGCAATCTGTTTTAGTGTTGTTTGAAAAAAAATGTTGTAAGAGGTTTACGGCACTTGCAACACAATAAGGTTATATCAATGCCGAAGATTCGAGGTTTTACAAAAGAATAACGATCACAAAAATGAAGTAGGGGAGATATTAAGGACCGCAGATGTTTGGTAGGAAAGAAGCAGCAAACCACACCAGAGCAATCTATTCACATAGATAACGTTAAAAGACCCGAGTGGAGGAAACACAGCGTTAGTCTCAGCGACGCAAATCTTTTCCTTACCACGTCGTCGAAGTGTTGTTGCTTGAGATGGGAGATTCTTGGTGACCGGAAACGCACGCAATGTTTACTTTTGATGAAGCTAGCGTTGGAGGGGAGGTAAACAATCATGCCATGCCAGATGTTGTTGTTGTTGTTGTTGTTGTTGTTGTTGTTGTTTTTGTTTTTGTTACCTGCCGTGGTTGTTTTGTTCTTATCAATGCTGATAATTTTATAGACAGCGAAAGATCTTGTCAGTTTGTTAGTGTTTGAGCGCTTAATCAGCTGCTTGCACTGTAGGCTTCACGGGAAGCTGAGAACGTTTCGGAGTGTTCTATGATCTGCTGGGGTAATATAGTGTAAAGCGCAGAGAGCCGGCTGTTGAGCGGGGATATGCGCTATACAAATGCTATCTATTATTAATTTCGTTGTGGTTTATATTGTTGTTGTTGTTGTTGCTGTTGTTGTTGTTGTTGCTGCTGTTGTTGTTGTTGTTGCTGTTGTTGTTGTTGTTGCTGTTGTTGTTGTTGTTGCTGCTGTTGTTGTTGTTGCGGTTGTTGTTGCTGTTGTTGTTGTTGTTGTTGCTGCTGTTGTTGTTGTGTTGTTGTTGTTGTTGTTGATGTTGTTGCTGTTTTTGCTGTTGTTATTGCTATTGTTGTTGCTGCTGCTTTTGCTTAGCCGTTTTTTTCCAGTTCGTATCGATGCTGCTAGTTTTGTTGTTGTTTATGCTGTTGTTGTTGTTGTGGTTGTGATTGCTACTCACGGGCAGTATTGCATATAGACGTAAGTCGTTTTTGTCGGCCTTTGTTGTTGGTGTTGTCGTCGTCACCACTGTTGTGTTATCTGTTTCATTTGTTTTTAAGGCGGTTGCTGTACTTGCGTTTAGCTACTGCTGTTTGAGAATCTCCTATCAGTTATTATAGTAGAAATATTAGTGTCAGTGCCGTCCTAAAGAAACTTGAAAATGTAATCACCCACTCATTGTGTTGAAGCCTTGCCCTACCCACTCATGCAGCATGCCTATTCAAAGCTAAATAAATTCTGAATTATCTGACACATTAATAATTTATCTGTATTAAAAGACTCATGAGATATGGTCACTAAAAATGACCTTTAAAAATCAGGCGTGGCCAAATTGTGCGACATTTTAAAAAACCCCGTAAAATTGTCTTTGTACGTGTATTGAGGAGTATTCATTATTGATAGACTTGAATTACTTTGCCTACCTAATGAATGGGGTATATTGTCTCTACAATAAACAATATTTCATAACGATAGTTTCAAACAAAACGGAAACACAGAGTAATCAGTGTCATTCACAAATACCACGCAAAACTTGGACTTTTCTAAGGACCCTTTTTGTTTTGTGTGTGAGCACGAGTCCTTTGGGAATCGACTCTATTAAATTTTGGACATACGTGTGTTATTTATTTATCTGTCATTTCATCTGAAATGTCACAGAGTGTTGCAAACAAAAGGTCTGAATTGGGAGCAAAGTAGCTTTTCTTCGGCTGCTGTTCCATGGGACTTCATATACCAGCGTGTTTTATATCAGGGCTATTAAGGTGACCAGCCCGACTTTGATTTGATTTGGTTTTCCAAGAATTATCTAGTGGCATTGGCCCTATGAGAAAGCCCTCGACTGCTATGCATGGAGGTGTCTACTTGAATGACACCATGATGAAAATAAGGTTAAGACATGATGTTCCAGCACGTGCTCAATGTAGTCCACTAAACCAAGCCATCGGTGATTCTGACGAGGACTGTTTTGTTAATTCCACCCCAAACCACTCCAAACCAAGGCAGTTTTGTGGTCTCTATTTCTCCCTGACGGATGCTTATGTCCAAAATCTAACCAACACAGTGCATGTGCAAAAATGGTTTCGTGTTGTACTTGAAACCAGCAGGCTCCTAACC